AGAAGTCACAACCATAGCAGTGCGAAGCTGGTAGTTTGGTATCTTTAACTGAACCAGAAGCAAGCAACACATGTACATACACCAGGGGCCCGATCCACAACACGTTCGTCGCAGTATGCCTTTCGTAAACCAATGATGACGTATAGAGATACGACACGTCGTAACGTTACGAACGCTTTGTGGATGGGTACTCAGCATTGTCATCCAGAATGATGTGTTTATCGATAGCTGTTCACTCATACGAATGGTCTCCTGAATCATCATTCGCTCGTATGATAATCACAGGTTATAATACGTTCCCAGCAATCTATGTCGTAAGAACCAACATGAAGAATCAAGGATGATATACTCAGGGCATATGATTCCGTCGATAACGTGCTGACATATCCCGATGGTAAGGATAAGTGTTCATGATATCAGTCACCCGGTGTTGGGGTGAAGTCGTCCTGTAAGGTAACAATGTGCAGTGTTGATACAACAATAAAAAAAAACACTTTGAAGTTAGATAATGTGTTTTACAGAATGAGCAAAGCTGGCACAACTTGGGCTGATGGTTTTCATACTTACTCAGTGGACTGGACAGATGGACATATCAGGTAACGTGCAATGTTCTTAAAATTCGCTGGCTATGAAAGTGTGAACTGGCCATTTCTCAAATTCGCTGGCAAAAGCGCTGCAAAAAATCAACGTAAAGGCAAACAAATAACATATCCTATCAACCTTATTTTTATACTTTGTAAACGTGTAAATATCAGGAACTCGAAGGTTGCCAAAAAAACATTAATATCAACCAAAACGCTTCATTAAAGGCTTAAATATCGTGAAAGCGAATGTGATAAATATCTCAATATCAGTAACCCCTAGCTTAATAAAGGTATGATATCAAATCTGATAAAGGCGTTAATATTCAGTTAATGCCATGAATCTTTCAATATGAGGAACTCAATATTTGAACGAAAAAATGTGATAAAATTGTTGAAGTCAGTTACTCCAAGGTCATAATCTAAACGCTTCCTAGAAGTGTTACTAACTTAGAAGTTAAGGCTGCTAAACATTTTTGAGAATTTGTTATAAATGTAAATGCATGACACGTGTATAACATGAGTAAATGGGGAACACATTCATGTTTTAAACATTGTTTATGTCCATTTTTAGGCATATTTTGTGCATGGCGGGTGCTACCGGTAGAGAAGGACATACTTATCCTCTTCGCGAACACCTGGTGTCATCACTGATTTTCAGTGATTCATTCTGAATATTTTAACAGCTATGTTTCCCATTACATCAATTGGAATTTGTTTCTGAAGACGGTCAAGCCCGTTTATTCTCTTGCACAGGCATTCTATATTTAAGTACTTATAAAATAATTAATTTCTAAGCAGATACTGGTATTGATAACTCGTATTAATCCTCTAACTAGGATGGACATAGACAACCAACCAGTCATGTCCTGGTCAACACCATCTCAAGGGTACTGGTCATACAGTCATCAGACTGGTACCAATGTCTGGGCAAGTGGTGGTAAAGATGCGCCCTTTGATGGGAAGGTAAGAAAATGGTTTCATCTGACCACATAAGGTGTCATGAGTGAGCGATTGGAGTTGGTGTTATCTCGCTTTAATCATTATTGGTGTTTTCTCAATGGTACAGACATACCTGGGAGCAGAAGGATGACGATTGGAATCAAACACACCCGATTAAATGTTTCTGACAAGCTTAAAGGATCCAGCTCGTCATAGCAATCAGCGGCGTTAGACGAATGTGTCTTCTCAGAAGATTTAGATGATTATGCTTTTCAGCCTCTGAACTTTTCGGCGTGAACTCACTCATCCACTCACTAACAGTTTTTAAATGGTGTCTATATACATATACAGTTTACTTCTAAAATATTCAGCTGCAAAAACACTTTGTGGATAGCTACAGACTCGGCTTTTACAGACTGTCTTAATATAACTGGAATGCTTTTGACTGCGGCGTAAAACTACAATCACTCTCTCATTCTTCTATGTTACAGAGGGGCGGTGGGGTAGCCAGTGGTTAAAGCATTCGCTTGTCACGCTAAAACCCGGGTTCGATTCACCACATGGGTACAATGCGTGATGCCAATTTCTGGTGTTCCTCGTCGTGATTGCTGGGATATTGCCAAAAGTGGCGTAAAACAATACTCACTCACTATGTTACAGATGAGCCTCATTCTGAACGTCGCTGTAGGCTCCACCAAAGGCTACTTCCCCGACTCATGGCGATACACTCCCCATGCTAAACCCTGGAAGGACAACTCACCAACTGCCAGTAGGGATTTCTGGAAGGGCAAGCACCAGTGGCAGCCTACTTGGCATGGCGAACACGTTGCCATGAAGGTCAAGTCGGTCAAGATGATACAGTACTAGTAACAGAAGATTAGACAAGGGTTAACGGAATAAAATTCATTGTAATACTTGTCTTTTTGTGAAAACTAATTTAACTCAGAGAATAACAAACGCCAAAGCCCCAATACATTTATGGTTTGGATTTTTGCCATAGTGATGATTTACAAACCGTTACAAAATTTGGCTGCTGCTTAACACCTTGCTCGCAAATGTCCCAGCAATATGATAGCGGTCTGTAAATAATCGACTCTGGGCCAGGTAATCCAGCGATTGACATCATGAGCGTCGATGTGCTCAATTGAGATGCGGAGACGTGCACCAACCAAGTCAGCAAACCTGCCACTCGATCCTGTTAGTCAGCGTTATCAAGACATGCTTGTGTTGCTGATGACAAATTCTAACCCTACATCGACACAGATTTTGAATTGACTGGACAAAACTCTTTCCAAAAATATAATCATAAGACACGCCGAGTCCATAGTATACTATCGGTTTTTCAGGCAAACACCTGTTAAAAAACTACGAAAGTAGGTATTCGCGAAATCTTGTCTTATCCCCTCATCTTAAATCCGAGCACCTGAAAGAGGGTAATTACAAGTCACAACCTTTAAATTCTTTTGTTATAATGCCGTTGAAAGAACCAGGGAGACAGTCAATTCACTTGACCACAGAGATAATTGTCATTACAGGACATTGATACAGTTGTTTGCTTGTGGTCCAGTTATATAGCGGCGGTCTGAAAATAATCGAGACTGGACCAAATAATCATGTGACCAACAGCATGCATGGGTCTACGCAATTGGGATACAATGACAAGTTGTTAGTTTGCTTGTAGTGCAGCTACATGGCCGCGGTCTGAAAATAAGCGAGTCTGATCCAAACAATCCTGTGATCAACAGCATGAGCATGGGTCTATGCAATTGGGATACAATGACAAGTTGTTAGTTTGCTTGTAGTGCAGCTACATGGCCGCGGTCTGAAAATAAGCGAGTCTGATCCAAACAATCCTGTGATCAACAGCATGAGCATTGGTCTATGCAATTGGGATACAATGACATGTGTTAACCAAGTCAACCAGCCTAACCACCCGATCCCGTTAGTTGCCTCTAACGACAAGCATGGGTTGCTGTTGCAAGTAAAACCGAATATTAAGAACGGAACCATGCAGTCTTTCCTATGACGTTTGCAGTGGCTGGATTCCAATGCAGATGTCCATATCCACTATATGTATGTAACATTCACTTCAAGAAGGAATATGAGTTAACTCCGAAACGTCGTGTTAAACAAAGAAGTTAATATCCACACAATATTTGACTCATGTTCATCACAACTAATATGAACTTCAACAACTCACTGTCGTATAATGAAATCAGGCGGTGGGGTAGTCTAATGGCGTGTGAGCCTAGTGTCGAGACGTACTCCGTGTAATGATTCAATGACCGGCGCTCTCTTGATTAGCGTCAATTATTGATTAGGTTTCACAGGTGCAATCAAATGTCAAAGCTTAGCGTTAATTCGCCAACAGCTGTCTTCACTGTTGCTGTTTGCTTTTAGTAATGTATATTTTCAACACTTACAGCTGACTCACCTGTCACGAGTTACATAACCGTCCTTCTCAAACGAAATCCGAATTAGGCGCCCCTTCCACTTCGTACATCGTGACACAGATATTGACAGTTGGCCGAGTCCCAGTTTGGCCGTGCCGCGAGATTTGCCGAGGCTTCGTGCCTAGTCACGGGTGTAAACAACATGGCGGCGTGGATACAGGTGCCCGTTTGAAAGACGAAGAAAATAGGATAATTGATTTGTGTTTTCAGTGAAGAGCAATATCTATCTCTGAATAATTATGGCGCTCGTCAAACGGAATGACAAACCTCAAACGTTTTCGTGGAATGTACGAGATTCAAGAAAACCTCAACACAAACGTAAGCACTGATGCATGCATGAATAACCAGCTGAGACCATTATTGCATTTCAATAATCAATCATGAATTTTTAAAGAAATATTTGATTATGTTTCATAGCTAACAAAACGAATCATATTGCATGCACATATGACATATATATTAATGTTTGTAGAAAATAATAGGTATTTTTTAATATTCAGTGATGCAAATGATTTGAATTTTATGGGTTTTGTTGTTGCAGTTCCTGTAATTGAAAAACCACCAGTTATGGACTATGACAAACTACAGGAATTATGCAGCATCAATTGAATGAAGAACAGGTAAATAAATGTTCCATTATGGGATTATGACGAGTGAGTGAGTGTGGTTTTACGCCGTTTTTAACATTATTCTATCACGGCAGGGGACACCAAAAATGGGATTATGATGACCTCATAAGAGAACAAGTAAGTAGTAAGTTCAATTTGTTTGCTTTAAATTAAACCTTCTACACATGTTGTCACAGGTGGGGATGCTTCATCATCACTGTGATAGTCATTCAGATTGCCCAGCAGTGCCCACAGATATTCCCTTAACAGTGTTTTATTCCGTGTGGCTCTCATTAATGATATATGAAGCCCATTTCTGATGTCCCCAGCTGTGCATGCGTGTGTATGTGTATGTTGTCCAAATCTTTGTTATGTGTTAAAAAGTAGTAAATATCTCCGCTTTTGATTGTGTATTGATGAAAGCACTGTTCCATGTTGTGTTCCACCTTGAGGATACGTATACAATTCCCGGTAAGTCGTTCGGTAGGAGATGTATATCCTTTGCTGACTTTTCTTGTTAAATGACCCGCTTGATAAAGCATTTGTCAAGTAACATAATGCAATGACTGTGAAACGTCAGTGAAATTTTTCAGTCCCAAAACTTTCATTTTGAGTTGAGTAACATCTAAACAATACTTCATGTATTCATTAGATCTTCAATATCCACATCAGAATTGGTTATCAGCAACCCACGCTTGTCCTAAGAGGCGACTCACGGGGTCAGGCTGACATGGTTAATGAATAGCATTGTATCCCAATAGCGTAGATCGATGTTCATGATGTTGGTCACTGGATTGCTTGGTCCAGACTCGATTAATTACAGACTGCCGCCATGTAGCTAGCTTATTGCTTAGTGCGGCATTAAACATTAAACAAGAAAAAAAACCAAAAAAACAACAACTAAACAATCACATCAGATGTTTGTCATCTTCCAGCTGCCTCATCTCTTAGTCCACGACTCTACAGGCGTAGCCATACCGTGATGTATGACGACTTTCATTCAAGCCATCTTGACAGCAGCAAATGGAAGCATGAAGTCACTTGCTGGGGAGGAGGGGTGAGAATCACTTTTACATTCACTTTGGTAGGAAAGTATCCATATGCGAGATAAGGAAATATACTACAAACGAATGGGAACATCCTAAAATTCGATGGTCATATATAAACTTAAACGTGGTGAAGTAATTTAGACTCTAAGGTAAATGCAAGAGTTTGTGTGCTTGAGGGGCGCTTTAAACGACATGTTGGAACATGAAGTGAAGCCATTTAATATTCGTTGAGTTTGAGTGAAATGAAACATTGTCAAAAACAGCGAAAAACAAGTGTGCTGAAACACACCAACACCATGTTTGATTCAAAAAGTTGCATTTACCTAAGAGTATATATGACCTCATCGCGTTTAAGTTTATATATGACAATTTAATGTGTTCCCATAATTTTTGTTTGTAGTTTATATCGAACAAATACACGTATATGTGTATGATATGGTCTGAAAAGTCAATTACTTTTGCACGATGGTGTGTTTCGTGGTTGCGGTTCACATGGCTACAATCACCGGGTTGTCTGTTTACAAACAACATCGTACAGTTGAAATACCGCTCAAACAAATATATATTCATGATATAGTCACAAATTGTACAATCGACTCTGCTTTTAGCAGAGACTTATTATGGGCGTGGAAAGGGTTTTGTCGCTTCTAATTGATAAGGTGAGGTGAAATTGGGTTTTACGTCGTGCTTGAGAATATTTCGCTCATATGACGACGTGCATGCGTGTGTATGTGTGTGTGCGGCTGCTTGTACTAGCCCAGACTTAAGCTGGTTTTATAGTGCTAGCCCACTGAGATACCATGCCGCAGTGAAGCATGAATACCCCACTCAGACACATTATACTGACTCCGAACCGACCAGTCCTTGTTGTACCCATTAATGCCGATCGCCAGGCAGGGACCAACAAGTACCATATTTTAACGTTTTTTGGTATGACGTGGTCGGGGATGGAACCCGCGACCTTCCGCTCTCCTGGCGGGCGCTCTAACCACTACACAACGGAGGCGGTCTCTAATTGATGACCATGTCAATCTTAATGAATAGTCCTATTCAGGTTACGATCCGATGTGCACATGTGCAGTGTTTTTTCGATGTGATTATATGCATTCCACATCACATCCTTAAAAAGAATGTGTACGTCATAGGTGTCGTTTTTGAACAGATGACCCGTGAAGGTCTGGCGCGGGTTAGAATATTGGCCTTCAGTAACCTATGCTTGTCGTAAGAGGCGACTAACGGGATCGGGTGGTCAGACTCGCTGACTTGGTTGACACATGTCATCGGTTCCCAATTGCGTAGATCGATGCTCATGCTGTTGATCACTGGAATGTCTGGTCCAGACTCGATTATTTACAGACCGACGCCATGCACCTGGAATATTGCTGAGTTCGGCATAAAACTACACTCACTGACTCACTCACTTTGAACAGATTGCTTTCTACCTACGGCTACTAACGATCATAATCGAGTATGGCATAAACCAAGGGATCTCTTGCAGGACAATCAGTGGATGAACTTTATTTGAAAACATCAGTTGGAAGCTAATGGTGGGCTTCTGTCGAATACTCGGACGATTAGGGGCTTTCGTTCTAAACGCGTGTGACTGTTCTTCAACTTTTATTATCTGACCTTGAGTTACAGAATACCGGATATTATCTGAAAGCATGCGAGTTTACTGATAATAACCTTTTGGGGCAAGGGTGAACAATAGCGTCGGATTCTACCAAATATGCGTGTTGCGTGAAGAAGTTATTTTGACAATTGCAAAATATATGTCCATTCATGTGCAATTAATAAGAAATAATCCTTGCACTGACACTTCATTTTTATCAGGGTGGTCAGTTCCAGATGTACACACCGGAATCTGCCAACACCTACATAAAGAATGGCGTCCTCTACCTCAAACCGGTACTGATCTCATTCATAAACCCAGTGAAGATCCGGGTTAGAATTGATCTTAAGTAAGCCATGCTTGTCGTAAGAGGCGACTAATGCGATCGGGTGGTCAGGTTTGCTGACTTGGTTGACACATGCGTAGATCGATGTTTATGCTGTCAATCACGGGATTATAAGATATAACGGGCAGTGCTTGAATATCAGGGACAGTGGTTGAATGTCAGTTCTCCTCTGCTGATATGCAGATACTAGAGGTGATTGAAGAGTTCGCAAGTCACTCAAAGTTCTCCGACATCAAAAAGATTCCAACTTGCTCGGGTACAATGGGTGGATCTTTTTTTCGAAGCGATATTGCTGATATTTCTTCAAACAGAGTAAAACCATACCCGCTCACACATGGCTTACATTGTTGTATTCAGACGCTTATGGCAGACAAGGTCGGAGAAAACTTCCTTCATCACGGAGATTTGGATGTCAGAAGTAAGTTTCAGTTGATTTCATCGAGGAAAGCAAGATATCTTGAAATAAAATATGTGAACATATGTCATGTGAGTGCGATCTCCATGTATAATACCAGTGTCAGCGCATGGTCAGTATTTGCATTGTTATCTATATCACGAAAGTTAACATATCAACTTAAATTTGACATTTCAAGATCCTGCAGACACGAAATGGACTAAGGTTACACTGATAAGACAGATGTTCTCGGCAACAGTAGACAGACATGAATCTACCGATAGCATTTGACATGATTAGAGGGTGAAGGTCTCGGATAAATAAGCAGAAAACCTTGACCGTTAAGAAAGGATATCCTCTCCAATACACATATGTCTCTGTATCTTCATATATGTAATACAAGATACAGGGGAGGAAGAACTACAGATAAGTTGTACTCTCTGTACGTAATATGTGACATCAGATATGTGTGATCTACATATGGTTGTGCACCAACAATGTCTTAAGGACGTCACGATACAATAACCTAGAAAAACCAGACCGTCACGAATAGTGTTCCTTCTTCAATACCTAACACAAGCAAAATTGCTAATTACCTAAAGATTCAGTAAAGTTTAGAGGTGGCTGTTAAAATTGAAACAAGTATACATTTTGTAGACAAGACAGGATGCAGGCCATTGATCATTGTTATGACACTGCATGGGTCAGGATTCCTGTTTTCCAGTGCAATGGGGAACGTACACATACAGTGACAATGGATGCCACCATTTGTGATCAAAGTATGAAATCCCAAAAGCAAATTTGCAAAGTACCTTAAACTTAAGTAAAGTTTAGAGCTGGCTGTTAATGTTGAACAAAGTGTTGAACAAAGTGTAAACAGGAATAGGATGCAGTTGCAGTATGTCATCGCATGTCATTGCATGTCTCAGAATTATCTGATTTCCAGAGCAATGGGGAACGTGCACATACAACAGTGACAACGGATGCCACCGTCTGGGATCGAAGAATGAAATCCCACCTATCATGTCATCTAAACTCTATTCCAAGGCTTCTATCAAATACGGAAGAATAGAAGTCGTTGCACAGTTACCTAAAGGGGATTGGTTATGGCCAGGTGACTATGACTCGACTGTTCACTATAAGTATTTTCCTACCAAGTGACATAATGAAAATTTTCCATGAACTCTTAAATGAACATCAACTGCTGAATCTAAGTGTTAAATCCATACTGTAATCAGTTGCGGTTTTCACCAGTAAAACTATTTTCGCTCATACATGTAGCAAACCGATTTGTTTATGTCATGTATTGTATTTAATCTACAAAAATAACAAGACATCAATAAACCTTATTTAACTCCTGAATTCCTTTCAAAGCCATTTGGATGCTTCCACCTACAAGACCTTGGAAGTATGGTGGATGGCCAATTTCCGGTGAAATAGACATCATGGAATCAAGAGGTAAGAAGTATGATTTCTCTCTCTGACACGAAATCGCTGTACTTGGCATGAGAGGCAGGATTAACCTGATGCTTATAAAATTCTAAACTTGTGTAACCGTAATATATACCTAATACTGACGGTTACTAAAGTAGTTTCGAAGGTTCCAGCTGCACCGAAACGTTCAAACATACACGCACAACACACTCACCGATATACTCACATATCCACTCACGCACGCCAGCGTGCACTCAAGCACTCACTCACTCTTTTCAATTTACAGGAAACGTTAGTCTGAAGGACTCAGGAGGACACGACCGAGGCGTCCACGTGGCGTTCTCCACCCCTCCACTGGGGCACTTCAAGTCAACATCAACAACAGTCTCATTCAGCGTTAGTTGTACTGCGTCTTATCACCAATCCTTATGTTGTGCCTGACAATATTTTTTCCTCAGGTCACTGTACGAACCACATAATGACGGTTAAGAAGACACATACTTACAAATTTCCAACTGCAAATAGGGTATTCAATAAACTACGTTTATAACGAACTGGCCGTTATAATAACTTGATTTCTTGTCCTGGCCAGCTGCTGTATATTATGGACGAACTCCGTATAACGAACTATGGTTATAACGAGTTCGTTATAACTGTAGTTTACTATACCCTGCAATGTTTGTATATGCTTTCTTTTACTCGTAGTCTGAATCGGACAAAGGACACTGCTTTAAGCTTATATTTCTTATGATTTTGGAACATATATATGGTTTGAATTGTCTGTTCCCTATTGACACTGAATCACCCCGAGGAGAACCACTGATCGAGAGTTTAAGCTTCAGGTTCAATCCGAGTATGATGCTTAGTTGATCAGCAGCATCCCCGTCATCATCCTGGTCCTCATCAAAACCCTCATCCTTATCCTCATCAATACCCTCATCCTCGTCCTCATCAGCATCCTCATCAATACCCTCATCCTCGTCCTCATCAGCATCCTCATCCTCATCAACATCCTCATCCTCGTGGTAAATGTCTCAGATCCGCGACAAGTAGAGCTTTCCTTTCATATGGAACTGTCCATTGTACTGTGAAGCAATGTAACTTACTCACCCAAACCACGAAATGGTTGAGATTGATTCCAATGGTTTCCAACTGAGTCATCAGAAGAAGTACCATACGTGTTTGTCTGTGTCCTCCAGTTGCTATGACGGTGATCTTTGATCTGCTGCAGGACGGGCTCGTGGGAGGATGGCTTCCACACTTACGCCATTGGCTGGACCGCAGACCACATAAGGTGAGTTGGAAGAAAGACTAATCCTCCCAGATAAGAAGACAAGGAACGTCTATGTCTGGTATGAATGTCTGTGAAGCATTATGTGAACTGTTAACTACATTGTACAGTTGACGGCGTTCAATATATACACCCGTGCAATAATTAAGCACCACCTTATTTTGAAAATAAGATGTGATGCTACAAAAAAGTAAGGGTATAGCCATCAATTTAATAAACCTATAGTTAAAGAAGCTTTATCCATTGACAGTTTTATAAATACTATAACCTTTTCTATTCCTTATGAAACTATTCCTCTCCTGCTCAAACTACACCATTAAATTAACTTTTGACTAAAAATAACAATTCTGTTATATACCAAGATGACATTTACACATCAAATAAGCTTTAATTATGCATAATCACGAAGAACCTGAATGTCAAAGATTCAGACCTTTTTCCAACAATTCAGACTGCTAATTGACAAAAACTGAAAAACGCCACATTAATAAGATTTTGGAATAAATCTTTTATGATTTTGAGTTTATTATATTGAATAACCTCTTCTCCTTGCCGGATACTGATAATCACAGCAAAATCTGTTTGTTTTGTTTGAAAAGCAAATTTTACTTTTTCATAGTGTGAGTGTAACTTTTCCTAAATCTTAGTTTATAAACTTTCATTCATTCACAATAAATAACGAATTTATAGGCCACACAACAATCGCTTATTACTTTCACTTTTCAAAATAAGGTAACTTGTTTTAGGACAGAAAAACACCTGTTTTAAATATAGGCAATTTTCCTAATTAAAGTAAATGGTAATTTCAATGATGTTTTCGTTTTTGAAATGTTAAATGTTTGCTCTATCAAATTATAAAGGTTATTTTTGGAAAGAGTTTAGAATTTCATTTCAGACAAAATTAATTGGTAAAAATACAGGGTTGTGCTTATTTTATGCACGGATGAATATAACCAAAGCAGTGAATGGAAATATTTCTCGTCATCAATTTCAATGTAGGTTCTTTTGTACAGTAGACTTGAAGTTATGATCTTTTTGCCAAGAATCCTATTGTCTCTTCAATCAGGACTGAAATAGATCATCATCCACTGGATCCGACTCCTTCCAACGGATTCTTTTCATACAGTCATCTCTCTGGCACCAATCCCTGGGGGAAGGGTGGTAAAAACGCCCCCTTTGATGGACCGGTATGTTTCTCATTTAAAACGAAAGGGTCCTTTGCTTATTGACATATGACTAACAGTTTGAGCTTGAGTGAAAGTATTCAGTTCAGTCATTTAACAATCAATTCATAAAACCCCTTTCTTTTAAACAAATCGAAATCATTGGAAATTGAAAGTTATGTTACGTTTTTAGATGAGTCTTATCTTGAACGTTGCTGTGGGTGCCACGGATGGCTATTTCTCTGATTCGTATCATAATGCTAACGGTAAGCCATGGAAGGACAGCTCTCACACTGCTATGATGGACTTCTGGAAGAACAAGCACCAATGGCAGTCTACTTGGCATGCTGAAGACGTCGCCATGAAGAGCAGGTCCGTCAAGATGATACAGTATTAAATTTCTTCTCAGATGATCGGAGAAATGTCACTTCACAATAAATATTATTTGGCAGTCAAAAGAGCTTGTTTTGTTTTGTTTGTATATTTTGTTTGCCACGTTTACCATTTGTTACTCTTTTTTTCTATTTGTTATGTGTTGTTGTTGGCTTTTGATTTGTTTGGGTTTTTTATTTATTTTGTTTGTTTGTTTTTTGTTGTTGTTGTTTGTTTGGGGGGGTTGACATTGTTGTTGTTTTTATTTATTTATTGGGGGCGTTGAGGGGTGTGTGTGTGGTAGAAGCATAGAAGGATGGGGTACCCTTCTAAACAATCCTGGATATACAACTGAATACAAGTACTCACCTCTGACAAGGGACATGAGGCATTACTTTACCTCGGTTAAGCATTGCATTATCCAAACAAAGTAAATTTAAGATCTCCTGGTATTAATATATTTGTAAACATTTTAGCGCCGACTCTTAACTCCAGCTCGTCATATTTTCGAATGGATATTAGTAGAGACGTACCAATTCTTAATTTATTACGTAATCTAATAGGAGATGGAAGCCGTCATGTTGACTTCACGACACTCATATAAGTATGTCACGAATGATCACAGGTGCACATGCCCCTTGGGTAGGAGCTGGTCTCCCACTATTGGGGTGGGGGTGGGGGTGGGGTGGGTATTTTACTTTACTGTAATATGCCTTCTCGTGGATAACAATTGAGATTACTCTGGTTACATGTGCTTGAAAAACTGGAATAGTGAAAAGCTCTTAAACGGTGATTTGCCAAGATCTGACTATCACTCAAAGGTATGACATTTGGTGTAATGAAGTTTATGTCTACACCGTCGCGTGGGAGATAATAGCATACTTTTTCAATGATGTGATCTTCACTGTTTGCCATGCCCCAGCTGTGATTCCAGGAAATGCTGCAATGATCATCCCTTTGATGTATGGATAGCTCAGTAGGACTGAGATCACAATTTGTGCATGGTGTAGTAAGACATCGTGCCCGTGGAGTGCTGCAAGGACATCTCCCTTCTACTTTACTGTTGTCTATATTTTCTCAGATGGTTGAACCTTTGTTTCAGATGGTCAACTCTGAAAGTCGACTTTGTAAGATGTTAAATATTTCTGTAAGATCGCCTCAGACTGCGTATGTTTGGAGTGACAACATCTGGATCCCGAACGTTATGATAATTGGCGTTTTTGATGACGATGATACTGGGGCAGTAGCTGATATTCCATTTTTTGCATACTTCACCATTCGTATTCCTATGACAAACTACCCCTGATGATCCAGGTTCGATTTGATCTTCAGCAACCCATGTTTGTCGTAAGAGGCGACAAACGGGATCGGGTGGTCAGGCTCGCATGTGGTTGACACATGTCATCGTATCCCAATTGAGCATTAGCGTGATGCACGTAAACTGTCAAGCAACTGTAAACTGTCAAGCAGCTTGGTTGACGCGTGACCATCGTATCCCAATTGCGTAGATCATCTCCATGATGTTAATCACTTAACTGTCTGGTCCAGACTCGATTATTTACAGACCATAGGTGGAGTGAGGTGACCTGAGTCATATCAGTCAATAGTCCCAAATCAAAACAGTGACACGATTACCTTCACCTAATGATACATTTCGTCAATCTGACTGAAGCCCCATGTAGTCAGCTGAATGAATTCACCCCGGGTTCATCAAGGTACAATACATGTGATCTGGAAGCCTGAACGGCGATAGTCAGGAATGGTTCGCAGATAATGTGACCTCTGACCAGATGGACTAGTTTCTCAGAAAACTGCTTGATCATTGCCATGTGAAATCTATCGTCATCCCGTGACATGGTGATTCATATAGTCCCGTAAACGTTAATCAGCATTTGATTGCCTCCCGAATTCTGCGACAAGTCGGGGTTAAATTCTACTCATAAAACCTGTATATTGAAAGCCTGATCCACCTTAAGATGTCCCCTTTCATTTTACGCCCCGGTTTTTGTCATTGAGGCGATCCCAACTGCCTGTGTTTTTGGTTTGTTGTTTTTGGGTTTTTTTGTTGGTTTTGTTGTTGTTGTTATTGTTGTTGTTCTGTTTTTATTGTTATACGGTAGACGTGCAGTGTTGACAAAATAAATGCAGCGTCATGGTTATAACTTCTTCTTTTTTCAAATTGGCATGGCTTGTGGATCGGATGTTATATCAAGATTATAATCATTGTTATCAGGCATTTTTCTACAATCCATTTGACACTTTCCTCATTGTGTTGTCAAAGCATCTTAACTTGTTATCGTTCACATATCTCCTCTGTAAAATAATTGATAGCACTCCATGTGGCTGAAATACCTCAAACCGTAGGTGGGTACATGTAGATCGGTAGTTACTTTATATTTCGAAAGTAACATTCTATATATTGTTTTACTGTGAAAGCAACATTCTATATATTGTTTTACTGTGAAAGCAACATTCTATATATTGTTTTACTGTGAAAGCAACATTCTATATATTGTTTTACTGTGCAAGCAACGTTTTCCACGAAAGTAAAGTGTCCCCGTTCGACTGTTCAAAACATTAATCATTGACATGAGCAAAGAAAAATCGAACCGTCATGTTTTAATGTTATAATGTTTAGTATAATCTTACAGAAAACTTTATTCAAGGCAGCCTTTTATTTACATGAGGTAAAAGTAATCAGACGCCACGACACTTGATTACGTCATATCGGATTTTCGCAATAACGAAATAGATAGCACCAAGCGACTCATCTTCTTTCGGAATTCTAACAGCCAATATGAGTTTTGTGGTAAATAAAAAAACATAAAATACTAACATAACTAACTAACTAACAATGGCTACTTTTCTGGACTCCTGGCAAAACCCTGGCAGAACAGCTCAACGACAGCCATGATGGGCTTCTGCAGCTAGTAGGACAAGCAGCCCTCATGGAAAAGGGACGACGTCGCTGTGATGATTATGTATTGTACTGTTCCTCGGGTATACTCAGATATTGCATGGTGGTACCTGTTCATCACACGATTCACAGATATAAACTTACTGGCGAAAGAAACGTCACCAAAATGATTTTTTTTATCTTTTATCGTACACTAAGTGATTATTCATATCTGTATTTCACGCTTCCATCATTCATAATGTTTTAAATCCATTAATTTTCCAAATATGATTGTTAAATTTCCAAAATCTGAGTTTGTTGTTTTGTGACATGTTAAAAAAGCAAGGTGACGTTTCCTTCGCCCATGAGTTTAGTACCAACCTTCTCTATTTTTGAAGATTTCATGCTTACATGCATGTAATGAGTGTAAAGATCGCCGAAGCATTTGTTAGTTTCAAGAAATATATTTATCCAGCCTCTTCTATTTGTACAGTCTACTGGCTTGTAACAAGTCCTAAGACCGACATAGTCTTTATCGGATTTAAGATATATGTGTCCAACCTGCTTTGTTTTTTTTTCTTGTAAGATTTGAAGTCTCCTGACGTGTAATGAGTCCGAAGATCGCCGTAGTTGTTATCAGATTTAAGATATTTATATCCAACTTTTCTGTATTTTTGAAGATTTAATGTGTACCTCTATGTAATGAAGCGTAAGATCAAACTAGCGTTTATATGATTTATCTGATGTCTAACCTCCTCTATTTGTAAAGACATACAATATCTACTGACTTGCAATAAGTCCTAAGATCGCCGTAGCCTTTATCAGATTTAAGATATTTATATCCACCCTTGTCAATTTTTAAAGATTTAATGTATACCTATATGTTGAATCACACTAGCCTTTATCAGATGTATTATGTATGGACCCGTGATAATCCGGGGTAGAATAGGTCTTCAGCAACCCATTCTTGTCATAAAAGGCGACTATGCTTGTCGTAAAAGGCGACTAACTGGATCGGGTGGTCAGGCTCGCTGACTTGGTTGACACATGTCATCGGTTCCCAATTGCGCAGATCGATGCTCATGCTGTTGATCACTGGATTGTCTGGTCCAGACTCGATTATTTACAGACCGCCACCATATAGCTGGAATATTGCTGAATGCGGCGTAAAACTCAACTCACTCACTCACTCACTAGTATGTATGTCTAACCTTTTCTATTTTTGAAGATTTAATGTGTACCTGTATGTAATGAGTCTTTAGATCACGCGAGCCTTTACTAGATTTAAAATATGATATTGTTAACGTCAAGTAAGACGTCAAATGAGACTCGCATCCGTAGAGGTTTGAAAATGTAAGACTTTGTAATGTAATTACTCTACCCTTATTTTAACTAATGCTTTGTTTAGATTGTTTCATTAGTCATGTTACGTAGTTCTTATAATCGCAGTCATTATGTGACGCCAGTTATCAACATATTTACACGATTTTGTTAAATTACTGTTTCGGAAAGGTGCCATCTGTGGAACCGCGTCTACTATTCTTATCCGAAGACATCTCTGCAGACACCAGTTTTCTCTTATCGGTATGACCTTAAATCTGTTTGATAGTCACCAAGGTCGTCGTCATTTGTTTTATTGAATAACGCTGCACTTTATTCCAGCTATTTGTCGGAAGTCTGTAATTAACTGAATCAAGACCAGACAGATTTGTGACTGGCATCATAACCATCGATCGAAGAGCCTATACGATGGCATGTGTTACCCAAGTCAGCTGGCCTGACCTCTCGATCCCTTTTGTGGCATCTTAAGATTCATGTGACTGATATTATGAACATCGATCTGAGAAATTGGGATACGGTGACATGTGTCAACTAGGTCAGCTAACCTGACCACCCGATCTATTTTGTGGCCTCTTAAAATCAAATCTAACCCGGATCGTTACGTCTGAGGTCGTCATCGACACTACATAAGTTTTTATTCAAAACTGTACTGGTTGAGAGGATGTGGGAGACCCAAGGGTTTTTTTTATCTCAAGATCAATAAAGAAAGACGTAGATGAAAATGAATAAATAAATATTACGCAAACGTTTGAAGTTTGGCCTCAAATATGTTAGAAATAAGTAATGTTGTCTTGTAATGTTTTTTGACAAATTGTCCACAAAGGATCCAATATTTATTTCACTATTC